GCTGTTATTATTATTGTTATTATTATTACCGTTATCACTGTAATTATTATTGCCACTATTATTATTGCTATTATTATTATTATTATTATTATTATTATTATTATTGCTATTGTTATTGCCACAATTATTACTATTACTAACAGTATTATTATTGCTGCTATTATTATTGTTATTATTATTATTGTTATTATTATTGCTATTATTATTATTGTTATTATTATTATTATCATTATTACCGCTGCTACTACTACTATTCCACCCACATTTCTACCCTTTTCGTGGGATGCGAACTAGCGACTCAGGTCTCTATACTACGAACTCCAGCTCATCCACTGCATCATTTTTTGTGGGAATTTGAATTTGATTATAACTAACTGCTATGAGATCGCTATCCCTACGACAACAATGCTTCCTGGTATGGAAAATTGTTAAAACATACATAAAAATTTTGCTTAGCAGCATATGAGCGAATGGTTCGACAGAAGTACGTGCGAAGACCGGATCCAACTTAGGCTGATCGCTCGTCCGTAACGCTGCCTCTGCTTCTTGGTATCTGAAGTATTATCGATATGAACACAGCAGGCCAATTTCTACATATTCGATCTTACATGACTCTTCAACATTTGTGCCACATTAGCAGCCCTACTGTCTTTTCCATCATAATCCATTCACTACTTCTACGCACATTAAAATTTAAGGATTTCGGCCGTTCCGTATTTTCCACTGTTCAGACTGGCTGTTACTTCAAAAATTATGGTTGGTCTAGCAAACGCCGTAAAAAAATTTTTTATCAATTCAACCCACTTCGGCCGCCCAACTTTACCGACCACTCCTGAATTGGTTTTCGATTGGCCGTTATTTGTTATTCTAAAGATCTTTTCAGTTCGTTCGTTTTGTTTTTGCTGCTGAAAAAATCCAAATGCCCTGCATTTCTTTTTGGCTAGAAAAAAAACGAATCGAAAAAAACCCGTACAGCGATAAAACCCTGTGTTTACAGCCGATGCTTTCACATACGTAGAACTCAGAATGCACAAAATTGGCAAAATTCAATCGTATCAATGGCAAGAACGAATATAACAAAGAAATGGCAGTAGTTCAACACATTTTCATGCATTTTTTGCAACTTTGCAATGCAAAAACTCATACTGCCCGAGAGTTTTTTGTGCGTGTGTCTGAGCGTTTCAGTGAAAATTTTAACAAACTTGAACTCTGATGGAATACTCTGCTAAGCGAGAATCAATTCACTGAAAGTGCTTTAGAATATTTTCTTTAAAAATCAAAATTTTTGTAAAAAAATTGTAAAAAAAAGAAAAAATCCATACTTGTCCAACAAACAGCAGCAGTGGGCGAACAAATAACGAATTTCCGGCGTCGAACATACACCATCAAATTTCAGAAGGTTATACGCTGCTTCAATACGTGTCCCGCGTACCAGGCAGTGAGCAAATAGATACAGCGAATCAACAGTTTTCACTAAAAAAAAAAAACAACAGCTATATCTCAATATTTAAAAAAAAATTCAATGTTTTGAAAAAATAAAGAAATTTCGAAATTTGTTGAGCAAGCATTCGAAATCTAACCCATTTTTTGGTCATGTAAACGACTTCAAGGATCGAAACATTCCTGTTCAGTTGATTAATTATAATTTAATGTTGTTTTCTTAAATTTTAGATAAAACACCTTTAAAACTTTAAATATACTTTTTAAACATTTCTAGCTACTTATTTAATTACAACTCTGAAACAATTCCCCATCGTCAAGAAGTGGACGAAACGAATAAGCTCCTTCTAGTCATAAAGTACCTCATCATGCCGTACCAATTTCAAAGTTCGGGTAGAAATGGTGCTAATCTTACAACAAGAAAATCCCAAAACAACGAATTTTTTGCTAAATGTTTTTTGTCGGGAAAACTGCTGAACTAATATGCTCTTCACAAAATTTGAAAACGCCATCAAAGCTCAAAGCCAGGCGAAGCATATTGGACAGAAAAATCGGAAAAGTTACCAGCTGCACAGATAGAAAACCGTACTAGAATTACCAGCTGTCCTAGGTATGAAAAGTTCACTGGGACAGTCAATGTACAGATCGAGTGGATCGCCGTTGTACGTCTAATTTCCGAATTATCATTATTTTCAAGCATAATTGTACTTACTGTTATTGTTATTACCATTATTACTACCAGCGTTATTAATAATTAATAATATCATTATCATCATAGTTATTATTGTTATCATTATTATTGTTGCTATTATTATTGTTATCAATATTGTTATTATTATTAAAAAAATGAGTATTCAATTTTCATAAATCCCACAAGTGATTAAAAAAACTGCTAAAAATTTACCAGTTTCATGATAAAGCTCGGCCAAAACAATCGCATCGGAAACAGCAAAATGCTGCAGGTGACAGTGAATAACATTCTAAAACATTTTTTTTTTCTTAAATCAAAAAAAAAAGATCTAGATTCTGAAATGACCACTACTGGAAGATCAAAGGTCATCATTTTTGGATATCTGCTACGGGGGATCAAGGAGTCCAGTACAAAATCTAAAAAAAATTCTAAAGCTACAAAAATTCTTAAAAACACAAGCTTTTTTTTTGCGGGAAAAAACCACGAAAATTTCAAATTAATGTTTTTCCTGTGAAGTTTTCCCAACACGATTTCCCAGAAAATCACACTAGTGAAGCTCCAGATGTTGGTAGAGGTGCAAGAATTTTATGACAACAGACATAAAATAGCAGACAAAAAAATGCATTGTTTTCCAACCCCAAAGCACGCGATTCTTCGCCAGAACAGTTACTTTACACCGGGACGAGCTTTTTTTTTCCCCTTGCACCGAAATGACCTAATATTCCAAGTTTACATTCAGCCTTCATACAGGTGCTCATTACATCCTGAACCTTCTATCTGCTGTTTCATTATCTCTTTTCACTTCTTGTTTTCTTAGTCTTTCCTTTCAATTTCTTATCCAGATAGGCGAAATTTGCGTTTACCCTGAAAAAAAAAGGATAAAAGTGAAAGTTCTGTTGTTTTCTTACCTCGAATTCTTTGCTTCGCACCAGTCCAGAAACATCGGAGTTCGACGGCTCTTCACGCATATTCCGACGGGAATCAGTAACCGCAAACCACGCAATACGGGCTTGCCGTTTCTCTTCTGCAACAAAAAAAATCCCCTCTCATCATCGTGTGATCAGAAACATAGAAATCATACGTACAAATATTCCGCGAAATGGAAATATTAAGTCCCCGGTCCACTTCAGCTCCTAATAATCGAGGCTTCGATGTTATTCAGAAGCAGTCAAACACCAAAATTCTCTTTCCTGGACTGCATTGTTTCCCCGTATTCCAGGAACAGTCAAAGCACACTTTTCCGAAAACCCTTCAGATGGTAGTTTTCTTTTTCTTCAATAATCTTTGCCTTGTGCAGGATCAGCAAGGCGACCGTCAAGCAGAGTATCTTATCCGTCGGGTTTTACTTTCTCACTCGACTGTAATTTTGCACATCGTTCATTTGACACTTTGCACATCGCTCATCTGACGGAAAGTCTGACTGTCTGTAGGATCACGAAGAAATGCTGCAGTGACTCTTTATTCTGCTTCTTTCCCCGTCACAGCCAGCGTTCGCTCTTCAGCTTTCGTCAGTGATCATAGCCAGAGTTCGCTCTTCAGCTTTTACCAGTGTTCTCGCTTCGCATCCGTATGTCATTGCTTTCAACACAGCAGAGCTGGGAAAGCAGCAAATGTGCTTTCTTTTGTGAATAATTCAGAATTCTTGCATCTTCTACCGGTTGTAAATTTTTTGGTCGGCGAATGGGTTAGATAAGGATTTTTTTTTTCTTAAACTTGAACAAATCACTAAAATTTAAAAAAAAAAACATGGATTTAAGACATTTCACATCAGTCATATGTTTCCTGGAACATCTGGATCACTTGTTAATTCATAGTATGGTTCTCCAGCAATACACTGCCAGTTCTTCAGCGATGCATAGATGATTCACTATTCCGCAAATTAACAGTTTTTCCAGGTATTCCCCGTAACTTTTTGGCTATCCGTAACAGATCTTGACCCCGTTTATAATTCATCTTAAAAATCTGATAATTCTTAGGTGTTTTTTTTTTTTTTCAAAAGTATCGAATGAGGAAGTGAGCTGAAACAGGGGCCAGGTTCCCCTCTGTCTTCTCGCCTTTCCCTCACCCTCGATCTCTCCTCAAAGATTTGCTACTCGCAATAATTCCTCCATATTTCTCTCTTCTTTCACAATTTCTTCGTGATTTCGATGCTGATTGATCCAAAGTGTCACAAGATCTGTCATAAAGCCGTCCCCTCTCATCCTTAACTTCACTGCTCCAAATACTGTTGTTATCTTTTCTAGGAGG